CTCCTTTTGTTGCCAACGGCAATGCCTAGTGCCGTCTATAGTTCATTTCTCACTCTCTAGCCATGAGCAGTAGTGCCGAGCGCTGCTCAAGTTCCATGACACTGTTATTTCACGGTCGTGAGTGGCAACGCCTAGCACCATCGGGACCCCATCTCTCTGTCGTCTCATGTTTTCTTTTCATTCTCTTTTCCTCTTCTCACTTGACTGAGGGTAGACTTAGCCCAGCTCTGTCATATCAGTCTCGGTTTCGAGTAGTATTGTCGTCGTGCTGGTCTTGAGAGCCATGCCTGTCTTACTATTGCTCCGAGTAGATAACTTCCAGGTTTCCATGCTAGTCTCTCCTTTTCGTCGAGTTTTTCTTCCCTTTTCTATCTTTATTTGAATCTTACACTTCATCACCCTCTCGTATGAATGTACATTGCCCTAAGACTAGGGTGGGTCTTTTTGACCCACTTGTCTTACAAACTAACCACAGGAGTGTTGTGCAGAAAGCAAGAGGATTGTGGGTCAAGGGAGGTAATTCCGAACTAGCTAAAGCAGCTGGGGGGCTTTCTTTGTGATCTAAGAGGGCGCCCACGTAAGCCAGCCCGAGTAAGTTCCGAACCCACCTTCAATTCTTCTCTTATCGGTTGGTATACCTGCCCTTGCTCTCGAGCAAGGTTCTAAGAGAGCGATCTCAAATCTTGGGTTCGTCAAAAACCCGAGATACGTGCCGCCAGATCATCAAGATCTGAAGGGCAAGATCGAGGCACCTAACCAACTTGGCAACACTACTGGGGAGTTATTACCCCTTAGCCGGCTCGCTCTTGTTTGACTAGTATCCTCTTTTACTTTCTACATTAATTTGTATGGCACCTGAGTTGTTTAACCCATTCATCCGAGTCGGGGACTTCCTTATCCCCGCACTCGTGACCGTCCCAAGGAAGTGAACTGCCCAAGCTTCCTTCCCTACTCTCCACCTGAGTCAGGACTCACGGTCTGTTTCTCATAAATGAGAGAGTGCATTTGCTCCCATTCTTCCATCCAATAAGCCATATCTGATAAATACACCACCTCAAAATCAACTCTGATCACAGGAGGTGCCCATATGGGAGTGAAAAAGTAAGGACCAATAAGAAGTCCAAACTGTCGCAATACGTGGTCAGGGTTGTAAGCCTCTACCACATCCATACAAATCAAATAAGCACGTGTAAGAAAAATAGGTGTTGTGTCCTCATAAATATCAGCCCTATCCTTGACAGGCACGATCCAAGTAATCTGAAAAGACAGAAACATGATGTAAAACTGACCCAGGAGAATTTCTCAAAGAAGAAAAAGAAAATAAAAGACTTAAAAAAAACAAAAAGGGTAGGAGCAAATTTGTCTCGCAACCCAGAAAATGAGAAAAAAGTCAAGAAAAAAAAATGGAGTAGGGGCAAATGTGTTCCGGGTCCATAAAATTTAGAAAAATGAGAAATTGAAGATTTTACACTCGGAATGAAGTGAAATAAGCCTCAGAAGACACCCAGAGCAAGTCCTCCACTGTGACCAACACATCAAAGGTTCTCAAACATCTTTGAAGTCACATACCTCCAAAGTGATGCGAGCTTAAATGGCTCACCAAATCCAGTTGAAGTACCAACCCGTATGACATGAAATAGTCGAGAAATCTCAGTCAAAAGACTTCTAACCTGTACGACGTGAAACAATCGGGAAATCTCAGTCAAAAGACGTCCAACCCGTACAACATGAAACAGTCGGAAAATCTCAAAGAAAACGTCAAACTCTTGCAATCTAAAAGAGCCAAGAGAGAAAAACGTAAAACTCGTGTGACGTAAAAGAGCCAAGACAGTCAAAACATCAAACTCATGCGACGTAAAAGAGTCGAGACAATCAAAATGTCAAACTCGTGCAATGTAAAAGAGCAGAGACAGGAAGACGTCTAACCCGTATGACGATAAAAAGACTGGGTACCCAATCTCAATCAACGTCAAACCTGTGCGATGCAAAAGAGTCGGAACAGGTACAAAACGTCCATCACTGCATGATGTAAAACTGTGCAGAAGGCTCCATGGTAGCTTGAGCCTAAACTGCTTACCAAAATTGTTTTTAAAAATTTGCATCCATCTTAAAAATTTCCCTTATGTGTTTTGTGAGTTTTCAAAAACCTTAATTTCTTTGGTTAAAATTGTAGCCCGGAACTCTGTTTCTATTTCAAAATTCTATCTATCTTCAGAATTTCTAAAATGTTTTAAAAAACGAAGGAGTTACCTGGAGGTTTGGAAATGATGCGTATGCCACCACAAAATCTTGGATTGTCATGCTTGCAAAACCTTAGAAGAAACAACAACCAACCCATAGGTTCCCAAACCACAAAATAGCTTGAATCTATGGACCCCAAGAATCTGAATCGAAGGTGAACCAAGAAGTTCAATTAGCCAGAAGTTCACCATCCCGTCATTTCTTCTAATTCAAACTCATATTCGATGGATGAACCAGACCCCAAGAAAAAGGTCTAAAGTCAAAGATGACTACACTGGCAGCACCTAGGTAGCATGGAGGTGACTACACCAAGGAGTGTCATCGGCTCAAAGATAACACGGTTCCTGTTGACTCTCACTTCGGATCCCAATTATCAGAGACCTCTCAACCGCATTGACTCAAAGATAGCAGTGCCAATTTGGTCTTACTGATAAAAAACATTCATCGGTGTACCTCCTATCCAAAGGGTACTGGTCATTCAAAAGAATAATCCATCGAAAAAGGTTTTCCTTTTCACCGTGTCTCAGGTGTCTACTATTTTTCCATTCACCTAGTACCCTAGGTGAATGTCAAAGAGGGGCAACTGTAGACACCCCCCTCAAAATTCTAGCAAAGGGAATTCCTAAAAACCTCGATTTTGAGACCAAAAGATCACAAACCTAGTAGACTACATACAATATAGATACAATATAATTGCTTCAAAATTGCCCAAAAACTATCTCATATCAAAGTAGATCCAAGATCTTTCCAACGGTCTAAGATTTGCCTGAATTAGACATACAGATAAAACGATTCATAAAATGACTAATAGGCCCTGCCTAATGGGCCTGGGTGATCCGCCCGTCACGAGGAGTGTTGGGTCAGCCCCCAAAGCTCGTCATGGGCCTAGCCAGGCACGATGATGCAGTAAAAACGTGTTTTTTTATGATAAAGCCAAAAAATTTCAAATAAACTAGAAAAATTATGAAAAATTTCAAAAAAATCAAGAAAAAGCACTAATTGAGTCCTATAAATACCCATCTTTCAAAACAAAAAAGGGAGATAGAATAAATCCTTAGAAATTTTGAAATTAGAAAAATATCCCAAAAATAGCCCAGAAAATACCTAAAAATAGGAAAACCCCCGTAGAAAATTCCTAAAAAATTAGAAACAAATCCCCAAAGCTCTTAGTAAATCCAAAATTTGGATTTAAGCTTAGGAGCCTCCAAAAACCTTACAAAACTAGGGAAAAACCCTCCTAAACCTTCAAAAAAGCCTAGGTAAACATTAGCAAAAGTTTCAAAGCTTTTCCCCTGGCCTTAAAAACCTTAGATCTAGGTAAAAATACCTTAGATCTATTGATTACAACAACTATAGACATTTAAAAAGATATGGTGGTGCAATTCAAAAGTGTGGCTTTATTGAAGCCTGAAACTTCGGATTCGGGTCCCCAGAGATAAGTTTCCTTCCCTTCTTTAATTTTAGTTAATTTTCCCATTTAATTTAGTTTTATTTTCTATATTTTTTATTATTTTCTGCTTTATAAAGTTTTTAAAAAGTTTTAAATGCAAAATACACATATCTAGAAGCTGGCGCTGCCATTGGACCTAAGAAAGGATTAGATTTAAATAGATCTGTACTATTCTTGGGCCCATAAATTGAGCGACCCCACTTTTTCTATTTTTCACAAAATTAACTAAGTTTTTGTTAAGATTTGAGCAGATCTCATCTCGAGATCAATGTGGATCGGAGCTTATACGTTGATCTTTGAGGGAGATAATAAGATCACTTGTCCTTCTGATTATAGTGGATAAATGAAAAAACTTTGTATTAGAATCTCCATCCTTTAATCTTCCTCGATTAATGTTTCCAAAACGTCTCTTCATGGTCCAAAAGTTGTAATTTTTAGTACACTCCTTTTCCTCTAGCTTCAAATTTTCATTAGAAAGGTCATTACACAACTCATCACGTATAGAGGATAGCTATTGCCACACTTCTGAGATAGAATTGCCCACATGGGCAAATACCTCCTTGTTCCAAACACGCAAATTGCCCTTCATCCTTTTGAGATTGGAAACAAATTGAAACATAGGCATACCACCGACTCAATGTTGTAAGACATAGAAATTACATCAAGTAAATTTCGGAAGTTTCTCCAAAGTCGAGAAATACTTAAATGGTTTTGGCCCAACCGGGCCCAAATTAGATATGGATACCAACAACGGGTGGTGATCAAGATGTCCCTTTGGGAGCAATTTTACTTTGGACTCTGAATTTGACAACACCCAATCTGCGTTGCCGAAGCATGAAGGTTATTAAAAACCATGAACTTCTCAAGTAACTTCTAATTTAGCGTTCGGTTATCATAAACCACAAACTCCTTAACTACCTTCTAATTTACAGTTCTTCAAGAACTTCCAACTTACATTTCATTAACTTACTTCCCATTATTAAACATACCCTTTAAGTCGCAGCCAGAAGAGGAGCAGGACTCTTAGAGAGATGAAATGATGGATTAATAGAAGAAAAGCATCAATTATCAACACGAGGGAGAGGGTACAAAGGTCAAAAAATTTAATGTTGACAACTTTTGACAGCTGGCCCATATAATAGGTTATAGGATTTTTCAATCGACAAAATCAAAGGTCTTAAGCTCAAATACAATCTTTAACGGTACGATCATTCCCTTAAAAAAAAATAAAAAAAATAAAAATTTAGCAGGACACTCGGGAAAATTTTTATGTTAAATTGAAACAAATATATCCAAAGCCTGTGGCCGTGGGGCGTGTCTCCAACAAAGTACGGGTTAAATTAAGATTAAAACACCATTATCGGCGGCCCTCTACTTCTGTCCCGCTCACTCGAGAAATTTGTAAATTAAGAACACACAATAAAGAGCTAGGGAGAGATGAAATCGTGAGTACCTACAAACTTTCTCAGTTCCAATGTCCGAATCAAATGCATTTCTCCTCCTCTCCCATTCCCTCCCATGCTCTGTAACCAAGCCACGACCACTCTTTCACCATCGCCCACTCTCGAGGACAATCAGAGCTTCTTCAGGATTACAGGTGAGAGAGAGGGTAGATGCGCAAGCTGTGCCATTTTTTCATCAGAAATCTCTTTGACCATTGATTTGCTTCTCTCTTCTGTGCAAAGGGTGGGTACAGAGGGCCAATACCAAACAAGGATTCAATTGCGGAGTGGGTTTACAGAAGTGATGATACTGTTCGGAGCGCTCCGATATATGTTGGTGGCATTTCTTTGTTGGCTGTGCTCCTCAATCGTGCTTTCTCCGGTGTTTCTCCGGTCGCTGATGCCAGCAGGTATGCCTGCCCTTCTCTTTCTCATGTGCTTTCTCAATTGGCCCCTTTCAGAATATCTCTGCTGTTATGCTATTTAAAGTGGCTGTTCTTGAGGCCCATTTGTTCTGATAAGCAGGAATTGAATTCTTTATTTGGCTCTGTCACGTTTTCGGTAATTTTCTTATCTAACCCCTCCACTTTTTCTCTAACAAATGGGCACCATGTTCTGCTGAGTGTTAGACCGACTAACTTGATTTTAGCAAAAGTCATATTGTTGGTTTCTTTTCACAGTGGTAGTTGTAAATGAAATTCTCAAAGCACACTAGCTTTTTTCGACTCTGATGATTGTCTGAATAATTACCAATATTCCCAAATTATGCAAAATGCATGTGAAGATGAGGAAACTTACCATGCTTCATCGATCAAATGAATACTTTGTCTGAATCAAATATGGAAGTGACAATATGCCTGTAGTGAGGATTGTGTCATGCCCAAGTGTGGGAAAAGCAGATAAAATGCTCACCATTTAACAATAATCCAGATAGATGATATTATTGAAGCAAACTAACTCTATTCAACTATGATGATTGTCTGAATAATTACCAATATACTGTAATAAATTTTTTTTTTGGAAGAAATACCGATATACTGTAAGTTGTGCAAAATGGATCTCAAGGTGGCCAAACATACCATGCTTCATCAATCAAATGAAGGCGTTGTCTGAATTAAAATGGAAGTGACGATGTGGCTGTAGTGAGGATTTTGTGTCATACCTAAGTATGTGAAAAACAGATAAAATAATTACCATTTAACCATAAGCCTGACTTGTTGATAACCCTGGAAGAGCTGGTGACTGATGTATGGTTGAAGTCTGTATTGATTGTAGTGCCTTTTTCTTTTTTAGTGAATGATTATGTGGACTCTTACGGAATGGTGTGGAGTTCTGTTTTATGGAGCCAAGATTTGAAAATTAAGGGTAGGGTGTCTTATACCATTTTAAATTATAGCATAATTTGATTTAAATTATAGATTTGATTCGTACTCCTCAGTCCACATACATGTACAGACATGTTACTTTGCCTCCAATTGCTTGGATATTCTGCCTATGGTGTTCTGTTTCAATATTGTGTCATAAATTTCTCATTTGGCAGTTCGCAATCAAGGACAGACATATTGACCCTTGCTTTAGCCGTAACGAACATTTTAGCTGGCCTGGTTTGGCTTTCTGTTAAGCCCAAAGTCACAGCTTCGGTGAGTTTACAACCTTGTATTTAGTTTTTTATTTATTTTTAAGACTCTCCAATGAGCCATGTGATTGTGAATAAAAAATTTCAATATACTTCATGACTTTCTATTACTTAATTGTGATTTTAGTCTTTGTTGATCACCTATGTTTGGGCCTTTACCTCCCATTAGCTCATTTCCTTTGCTTTATGATTAATCCATTCTTTATAGCCACTTTTGCGAGAAGGCTCTCATTTTTCTTGAATGCCATTTCAGGTAAGTCTTGATGGTGTAGAATGTAGAAGGGTTACAACAGATTTCCCAGCTGATGCAGTTGCAGAATTGCTATGGTATGTAACAGTTCCTCTAGCTTTTGCCTGGAGAGGCTAAAACATGTACAGATGTACTGCACTTTTTCTTGTTTCATGAGTTTATCATGTTTCTACTTTGAGTGCATAAAAGTGTGTGTACTTATTCCTGTTATTCTTTTTAAAAGTACTTCACTGGTTGTGAGTGATAACCTTAGAACTTGCTCTTGTAGGACTAGTAATTATTCTAGGTATGTTCCTGATAGTATATAGGCATTCCAAAAGTATTCATGGAGCTTAGGTTAGAAAGGACGATATACTATGAATATTGTTTTCATGGAATAGGATACATACACAATGCATTAACAAGCCGTCCTCATGAATGGAAAGTGAGCCTGCGATGTTGTTTCTTTGACACTTAAAAGCAGAAAAGTATCTCGTTTATGTTGTACATTTAAGAGGATGAATGGTTGATGGCTAGTATGTGTAACCCATATCGTACTTGTCTATGTTAATTTTCCGGTGTTAGGAAATCAATTAGATGTAAAATCAGGAAAAAGGAAAAAAAAGAAAAAGAAAAAGAAAAAGAAAAAGGAAAAGAAAAAGAAAATCAGGTATGTCTAGATGACAAAAACATATCCATTGGAACTGAGCACAGTTTGATCCTTGATTTTCCTTGAGGTTCAACCTAAAGGGTAATCTTTTAATTAGAGGTGTGTTTAGGGTATTTCATATTTGCATCGAAAGAGACCCTTTTTTAATTGTGAATAGAGGAATCTTGGTTTAATTTATTTTGGACCGCATTTAAAAGAACTCCACAGCTGTGAAATGTTGAAGCTTTTGCACAAAACATCCCTCATGATATGGTGTAATAATTGACATCTGGTCTGCATGAGGGAAATCAAGGGTTTGAACCTTGAAAAATTGTCCTTAAATTAAATCATTTCAATGTACCATTTTGGGATACAGGCACTTGCTTATGCCATTTAGGGGTTCCGGCACAATGCCTAAAGTTTGAATCTCACTGCTGACCCACGCAAGTAAAGAATATCTTGCACATACATATCTTTTTCCAATTTTTGTTTTGGAATGAAATTTTTGTGCATAGATCCTTGGATATAGACATGTTGTTGAAACCTGAGTCCTTACTTACCCAAAAACACCTGAGTTCTTTTTAGCCATATGTTTGCACATCAAGCATTCTTGATTATGGTTGCATTATATTTTTCTCTAGCCCAGTCCAGGGCTTGTGATTCCACAGCTGTGGAGTCTAAAGCATTGCTTTTGGATTTCAAGATATTGCTGATCGAGATGGGGGTGGCTCTTACTGTTGAGTTGGACTGCCTCAATGTGATTAGATGGGCCAGGAGGGAGGTGCCCATATCATGGCCATTAGTGACAATTTTTTATGAGGCTTTTGATAGTTGTAATTTGAGGGATGGTTTGTTTCCTAAGGGAAGTTAGTCAAGGCTCAGATGCATATGGATAATGTGGCCGTTTTTAGTTTTGATAGTTGGTCACTTAGTCGTTTCCTAGAGAGCTCCTTGACTGTATCACTTCTTTTTTGTTTTTTTATTTTTATTTTTTATTTAGGTTTGTTATTGACAAAATACATAAAAAAGAAAGTATTAGACATATGCTATCGCAATTAAGTGCAAAACACGTGTGCTTTATGTCATTTATGGTTTTCAACTTTCAAGTAATTCCATCTCTATCCTTTATTTTAGTTGGGTGATGAAGGCATTTTGGGTAACTGAGTTTGAATTGGTACTTTGTTTAAGCATCGCATTGTCCCATTTTGTTCGCTTAGCTTTGCTTTCGAGTGCAAAGCTTCACATTGCTTATATAGGAGTCCAACAACTATGATTGCTTTCTTCATGCTTTGCTTCGCATCGCTTCGCTATGGGCATATAATAAGAAGTTGCTTTTCCTTTTGCTTTAGATGTTTCTGGTCTTAATACTATTTAAGCAACAAAGCGAGATAGGCATGATTTTTTATTTAGTGAAAAGTTTGTTGTGAGTAATTGAGTATTTGAGTTGTTTGTGCTGAGGTTCTATCCCAATTTGCTCAGCCTTTGGGATGTTACTATGGGGAAGCAAGGGTTGTACTTTAAAGGTTTTAAAGTAGTGTTTATATGAGTTAGGAACCTTGGCTTAAAAGTTGATGAAGGCACTTTTAAGTCTGAGTTAGGTTTCCTAGTTACTTTAGGAGTCCTACTTGGGTTAGGATTCCTAGTAGAATAGGAGTTCTAGGAGGTTTAGAAGTGTTTGCACACACTTTTCTGCACTTGGCGAACCTGCACCAAAAGGCCCATTTGTAACCAGAGGGCGGGTAAATAAAAAACGAAATGCACACCCAAATAGATGCATTCTGGGTCCAAGTTTTAAGAAGCTTCATTTTGTATGATGGAGGAACCAATGAATAACAACTACGGGTCTCGGAGTCAATTATGGCCACAATCCACTTTGGAGCTTATAACGAAGAGACATGATTAAAATGGTGAAGACGGATGCAAATCAGCCCCAAATCGAGCCACAACACAGTCCCTAATATGCCAAAGATATCCCTGAAGTTTCGGCTCAAGACGATGCCAGACGGGGAAGATTCAGTGGAAACAATGTCTGGATTACTATACACAGGCTGTTGAGCATTATAAAGATGCCAAAATTATAAAAGAGTCCCAGGAAATCGGCCTTCTACAGGCCTAGGACCCTCATATTTGAAACTAGAGGCCCTAAAAACCCATAACCTCAAAGTTTAGTTCCTCGATGTGAGGTCATTTGGCTCTGTTTACTGAAAGATTAGGTGTGTAGCATAGTGTAGAAAGAGTTAATTTTCGTAATGCACCAAGGGGGAAAAAGCTGCATAAACAGCACTTTTTTGCAATTTTCTAGCTTTGATTTCTCCCAAATTCTAGGGCAGGTTGACCCAGGGCTTGGATATATCTTTCTACACCATGTAAGCTTTCTGATAAGGTCCATATTGAGGGGTAATCTAGAGAGAAGTTGGTCATTTTCATGTCATGAAAATCTCATAAACTTTGACCTCTCACCTGTTGTCAGGCGATTTCTCTCAATCTGGTTAGGATCTGGCAATGGGGTTCGGTGCGTTGGAATCATAGCTCAATGAACTTTTCAATCGTGTCGATAGCTACAATCAAGGCATGGTTGCATCGAAAATCATAGACATGGCTGTTTTTGTAACTCTCATCGAATAAAAGGCTCATAACTGATCCTATAAGGGGAGTTTTGAGTGTTGGTTAAACCAAAATGTTCATAAGATCGGGGCTCATCACTTTCCGGTCATGAGGTTCAAGAATCTGGCAAAATCCCTCTGTACAATTCAGCACAAGTGTATGGAAAATGCGTTTTGCTAAATTTTGAGTTTAAGAATACAAAAAGGCCCCAAACTTCCCGATCCTTGGAGTTTTTGGGTAAAATTTGTTACAAAATGACCGTAGAAGCCTAATATTTAATTTTCTAGTGAATGATATCCCGTTTGGGCACCAAAACTGAAGAAATAAGACTTTCATGCCATAGGCATGGGATGGTAAGCTCTTGTGAGTGACTAGAGTGGAATTTTGTACATTGTGGACCCCAAGTTTTGTCATTTTTGGGGTCGGAAGACATTCAAAGTTTATTATCCACCCCTTTTTCCTCCACAAAGGTGATCACTGACCCATGTTCTAATCTTCATCTACAAAAGGGATTAAGCGCTTTATTTGTAAAGGTTGGAGTTCGTTTGTATGGTTTAGGGGGTAGAGAAATTCTAGAGAGAGAAAGAGCTCTCCTAGAGAGAGAAAACCCCAACCTAGCCTAGAGAGTGAAACTCCCAGAGAGAAAACCCTTGCTTTACCTCTAGGCTCCCCAAGTTCTAGAGAGAAAAACTCCATCCTTATCTCAATCCCCCAGCAAGGCACACCACAAATCAACCCAAAGCTAGCAAGAGAGGGAGCAGCGGGGCTTCTCTTGGCATCCAAAAAATGGGATAGTCCAAGAGGGTCCCAAAACGTCCTGATGAACCAACCAAAACTGTAAGCATTTTCTTTGCATAAATGAAATATTTATGTTTCTAATTTTCTTGTGTTTGCTTGCTTAAATTTGGAGTCAGCATTTATAAATAAATTGTCACCTGCATGCACACACAATAGTTCTCCCAAAATGTCCTACAAAATTCACAACAGCCAGGTTTTGTGGATATCAAAGTCTTTTAGTGCAAAAAGGATATGGGAATGGAAGGTCTAGATAAGGTAGGATTGAAGTGAAAGAGATGAAGAAGGTTTTGGCATGATTAGAGATACAATTGCAGTTGGTTTCAGAGGTTATTCCGTGGATTGAAGCTACTGAAAAATTGCAGGTCCAGCAAGTAACTGATGGATTACAAGGGAATAAGGTGAGCATAGTTTTAATTTAGGGTTGTGGGGCTTAGGGTTATAGGTGGTGGATATGGGAAGGAGGTGGGTTATGTTATTCGGGTTTTGGAAGGGTCGATTTAGTGGGGTCGAAATATTGTGCCAAATTTGGTTGAGGTGACTTTTGAAAAGGGAATTGCCACATAAGAGGGAAAGAAAAAGGCTCTATCTTATTGAGGAGACTATCCCAATCTTAAGATAGAATTGTAGAATCACTTTCTACTGAAGATAGAATTGTAGAATTACGTCTCCAAAGATGACCTTGCTCAACCAAATGAAAGAACATAATTTTATTCTTAGTAACTTTGAATGAATTGGCCATAGGCCTATATGTTTATTTATAAAGAGTTCCAAGTTTTGTTTCACTTATACTTGGATTCTTGAAAGCATACGAAACTAACTCCTAAGAACTCTAACCCTATTATCTCAGGTTTCTAATCCAACTAAGGTTGGAACCTTACTTTCTAGAAACCCAATAACTTAAGGAAATTAAAGTTGCATCCAATTACAATAGAGACTCAATAATGAAAAGAAAGAAACCCAACAATCAAAAGAAAAGTAATTTCGTCATTTGAAGCTAGCAGCATCCAAATCACGAAAAACCTATTGTGATGAGATATTGATCTCAAA